AGGAAATATGCAAAGCCACAACAGGACCATTTTAATGCTGGCCCTCACAGTAGATTATACTCACTTTTGCTCCATTGTGGTGTAGCCACTATTTCTGGGTATGGGAAATGCATGCAACACACTTCCCTCCTTCCAAAATAATAGCACTGGTGCTTGGCAATTGGCCGTTCAGGCACCATGAACTGTCACATAGGGCAGGAGACAGTCCTCAGGTCTGTGGTAAACTATAAATTGCAAATTGTAGATGGCACACGGCTTCTTCTCCTGGCTTCCAGGGGCAAATGGAGTGACAAGAGAGTGCAGGGAAGATGAGTATAAGCTGCTCTGAAGACTGCCATTAAAGCGAACCTGTTGCTTTGTTGGCCAACTTACAGGTTCATTGTCAGACCTCAATTTATTAAAGTGCATTGATCATTAAAAAAAGAAAAAAACATTCTGAAGTGAACACATCCATACAGTGCCTGTATAAACCTCCAGAAGGTGTGTTAAGGAAGCCTCTGACCCTCCTCTTTCTACCTGTGTTCACTTTACCATATTGCATATAATAAACTGCTAAATGCTAAACCTTATTGTTTCCCTTTGAACTATGTACTATGTCAGGAATGTAATTAATGTGTACAAGCACATGTACTTATTCAGGAATGTCTGAAACTCCCATGACATCACTGACATTTGGATTATGTAAGTCAACAGGATAATGTTTGCCTTGGAGAAATAATCTTTTGTTTACCTTGACTTTTCCCTAATATAACTACAACCTAAAATAGCAAAGGAAAGTACCAAATTTTCATATCTAGAACCAAGCTAGGTAATGGCAAAAGGTAATGCTAGCAACAATAGCATGTAGGAGACATAATATAACTGCAGGTTTATAACTGCAAAATTACGTTATTTTATGCAAATCTATCCACCGTAATAATATTATCTAGATCTGTTGTTAATTTTTCGCTGTGCTGCATAAAGTCTGACTAAAAAGTGAGAAATACATATGCATAACTTAAAAGAAACCTGTGTGTAAAATAAAATTATAAAGCAGCAGCAGGTAGTGTAAGCTGTCAGCACATTCCTCATGTTGTAGAATCCCTTGCTCCTGTGCCACCCTGAGACCTCCACAGTCTCTTCACTTTCACCCAGTGGAGATGAGGCACCCTTCCTGTCCCAGAACACAAAGCTTGGTGACTAAGCAACCTATCAACAGCCCTAAATATTGTCACATGAAGGGCAGGGTACATTGTACTGCTAAATTGTATGTTATACCCATTTTTGTTATTTAATCCATGTGTCTCTGTGTCCATTTTGATCTTAATCAATGTAGTCTGTTTTCTGTTGTTTGCTTAATTTCCTGATAAATATCTGGTGATCCTGTCAGTCCTCCTTCCTCCCTTTTCTAATATAACCATGCCATGCATGTATGTAGATCCGTGCTATGGTGGTCAATTTGTGTCTCAACTCTTTCTTCTGGGAGATACAGGATGCTGTGTTGACACATGGCATTCCTGCATCTTCTGTAGTCAGCACAGCCCCCTCCCCAGCCCTCCCTGTTTGAGTTACAGTGGCTTCCACCAGGAACTTCGCTGTCAAACTGCAGCTGCTTGCAGTAAGTAGAGCAGTGCAGTTGGCTGAGAGCCAGAACCTACGCCAACTGTGTGTGACGTCAGTAACTGCCTGCCCATTCCTAGACTGTGAGCTTGAGAAAGTCGATATTTGCAAAGCCAACTTTGGAGGCTCCAGAGAGTGTCTAAATAAGAGGTTCTGCAGCAAGAGACTTATGCAGTCACATACCCAATGCTACTGTTTACTGTGTACTTTGTGCAGGTTTATTTTAGACAGATACATATGTTCGGTCAGCAATACAGCTATGAGGGAGGAGACAGTAAGCTGCTTTGAGTAGCAAGGGCACACTCTTTTTGTGCTCAGAATCTAATTTACAAGACCCCAAGCCAATTTATATTTAACACTGTAAAAATTAACTAGAACTTACTGGTAAAGAGAAGTTTTAACATATGAGATTTCAACAAGAATTATCAACTGGATTCTTGTTAAAGGGCATGGCAGGTATCACCTTCATAACCCTGAACGTCAGGTCTTCAGCTGTGAAATGACACTATAAAAAAACATCCAAAACCTTCAGCCTGCATCATAACTTTCATATGTACCACAGATTTCCCTAGAAACCTTTAGGGGACCAACACCTAGTGTACAACCTGCAAATTTAAGATCCCAGAATTATTGCAGCCCAAGACCTATCTATGCCAAAACTGAGCAGGGAGGTACATATAATTAATTTAAAAAAATGTATTAATCTCCCTTTAATCAATACTGAACACAAATGTAGGCTACCTATATATGAAACGAGCTGTGCAATAATGCTTATGATGTAATTTACATCTTTCTAGATGTTGAGTGTTACATTCCACAGGCCAGCTGCACAATGTTCACATCTAGAATAGGCACTGTAAAGGAAAGCCACCCGTTAACACAGACTGACTTACAAATTAATACACCCACATAAATTTCACATCCTTTTCACATGGAACTGAAATAGACACTGGTGTTATTACCGCCTGTAGGTAGAAAATCTCTGCACTAAACAAGTGGAATTCAAAAGGAAAAACCTGACATTAGACCATGAATATCAGAAGATTTGGATGCATTTTAACAGGACTG